TTAAATTGATGTGGTCTGTAAATGAATTGGTCTCAACCAAATCATCAGTAATATCTTTGATTCCGAGCGACTCTGTATCCCAGAATTTTGATAAAGTATCCACTAATTCTGAAGTGTTATCAGTTAAACTGTTATGATTGTGACTGTCAATAATTAGTGAAGCTAATGAATGTCTTATCTGGGCCTTGATTGTTCAGTTTTCCTGAGAGAATCCATCCGATCTTGCTACTTATGGCTACTGGACCACTGTCTCCTCTATTAACATCACCTGTGATGAAATCCCAATAATAATCAGAACCAACGAGAATGTCAATCGATTCCGATTCTACATCATTCTGTAATCAGCCAAATCTAAACCGTGTGTATGGGGGAATGGTGAGATGTTTATCTTATTTTCTAACGTTAAACAAATTGTATCATAGCTTAAAGCGTGAATTTTGAATATATCTCCATTCTTAAGATTTAATGCGATTTCAACTACATCACACTCTTTCTTTGAACAATTGTCACTTCCAAATGTATTTGAATTTAATGTTTCAGATTTTACTGTGGGTAAGTTTAAAGTTGACTTCAATCTTGTTCTTACATACGAGCGTTGGCTGCCGCTGTCGAAAAGTAACCGTGCTTTAGTTGTTTTGTCGTCTAGTGGTGAACTAACATAGGCTGTAGCTGTTTGTAGAAGCACTTTAGATTTACTTCTAGATGTTGACGTCATAACATTCGTTAAGTTAGATGAAGTACTTGCTGAACTTGTATTGGTTGGGTTTGTTTTGGTTGAGTATTTGTTTGCTGAGATTCATCCCTTGAACGTTGGAAGATGGATTGCTTGTCGCAGACTGAAGCATGATGTATATTTTGACAATTTCTGCAAAGTGTGTCACTTGAGCACTCATAGGAGTTATGTCCCTTCTTGAGACATAGGGAGCTTCTTTTGGTTTTGCTAAGAATGTTTCTTCTTTGTTTGACATTTGAGACATTCTCACATGATGAAGAGAAATGCTGATTGCTGCAGAATACACATATTGGTATCCATTTTCGATCATCAGGACTAAAATTTCGAACGAATAAAGCTGATGCAGATGATGTT